TATATCGCAAACGATAAGATATCGCCCATCCCTAATTGGAACTAAAGAAGTTCATAAAGTCATTACTGCTGTGCTGTTGGGAAATGTCTGCACCTGTTTATGCTTTATTTTTCATTAATTTAGCCACTGCATTGAATAAATGACTGGGGTAGTGTTTGTTCTCTTCTAAGAGAGACAAAAGTAAGTAGATCTATCAGTTTTTAAAGCTTTCTATAAGTAAAAGTACTTTCCCTCCATGCAATAAGGAATACCTCTAGTTCTGTTTTCTTCCAGCTGCGCTCCATTTTCCGGGTTGCCCTCTTTAGGGCACGAGTGTGCTCATTATACCACGGTAGTTTCTGTTACAACATCAAGTTTTTCTGAGCTATTGGATTTGCCGAGAAATTGAGACAAGTCAGAAAGATTATTTACAAAGATTATTTTATTATTTATTTTGTTGTAGAAGTGATGGTTTTACTATATTTGTAACGAGGAGTTGAGTTTGCAGCTTTAGTTCAGAATGTTTATAAATGCTGATCCCAATGTATATTTTTCATTATCAACATGGATATAAAAATCACCAACAATTAAGACTTTACCTGCAGCCAGAACTAACTCAGATAGAAAATCAGCAAACTCGTGGATAAAGTCTGTATGGTGCCCTGGTGGCCTGTATACAGTAGCCAGTGCAAACATCACCGGGGATTTATCATTAACATTTGTTTCTCTGGATAATGTTATATGAAGAACCATTACTTCAAACAAGTTATACTTGAAACCATATCTCTAAAAAATACTGAAAATATTACTATAAATTGTAGCAACACCTCCCCCTTTACCTTTTGGACGTGGCTCATGTTTATAACAGTAATCTTGGGGGGCAGACTCATTTAAAATAATGTAATCATCTGGTTTTAGCCAGGTTTCTGTCAAACAGAGCACATCTAAGTTATGATCTGTGATCATATCATTTACAAAAAGTACTTTTGTAGAAAGGGATCAAATATTCATTAAGCAAAGAACAATTAAATAGTTACTCTTAAATTGTTTTGGACGTTTTTTGTATTTTCTAGTTCGGGGAACAGACACAGTCTCTATTAGTGTTGTCAAAAGACCCGGTACTTCGGTACCAAGTCGGTACTAAAAAAAATGAAAACTTTACAGTACCAGGTTTTTTTAAGTACCGGTGGTACCGAGTACCCGGTCAACCCGGTTGTTGATGCGCTATCCGAAAGGTGCGCAGATGCGCTCTGTTCATAAAAGCACTGAGACATGGCGACCTCAAAACAAGGAAACACACCAAACTAACAAAACACTTTTAAAGACAGACACCCAGATCAAATGAAAGAAAGAGAGTTCAAGCAGGTAAGTTTCATTTTAATTGTTAATATTTAGATATTCTCAGTGTTTCCCATATTGATTTATTTGTGGCGGCCCGAGCCACAATATCAAAACTGACGAGATGGTCCTCACTGCAGAACACAAGATCCAGGGGGAAAGGTTGGATCCAGATCCAACTCCTCCCACCTTACATATACCTAACCTACCCATCTCCACCCCCTGATCCCTAAACCCCCTAGATGTGGATCCAACCCCGCCCCCTGGATCTTTGTTCTGCAGTGAGGGGCTACTGAAACTGACCACCACAACTAGATTTTCCAAACGACTTTGACTTCGTTGAATAAACATGAGCACTGCATGTGTCAAAGTCGAAACCCGGTGCCAATGTTTTTATATCACTGTATTTCTGAAGGAAACCGACTATTATGGATGTAATTTTAATTTCATGTTGCCTGTAATGCCTGAGCAGCGTTTGTGAGCGCAGCGCTTATTTGATTACAGCCGTTATCGGGGAAACCTCCATCTCTCCCGCTCTACAAGCGTCTCCTGCTGGCAGAGAATGAATTTGCATATATATGCCGCCACAAATAGAGTGCACGTCTGTGGGGAAACACCACTTCTGTTATGAATATTATTCAATATTTTAATTTGAATGTCGGATTGAATTGAGAATTAAGTTTCTTTATTAACTATTTAATGCTCCTATAACTTTTATTAGTGTAAAAAACAGGAGGACATGATGATATTTAATATTTTTACACACCAGAGGCTTTTAAATGAATTGTGAATCTAAAATATGCGTGATATAGAATGTACAAATGGTTAACATTGTTGGTGTCATATCAGTCAGAAAAGCAGTTCTTGTTTTTTAGCTAACTTAAGTTAGTTGTTATTCTTGGCTGAATAACTCTAGAAGGTTTTGAAAAGCCCTTTAAAATTAAATATGTGCACAGTTTGGATTAAATGAAAGTATAGTCAAATTTTTTAATTAGCATGTTTTTGTGTTTTGCATTAGTACCGAGAACCATGGATTTTCACTGGAATTGGTACCGAATACTGAAATGTTCTCTATAGTATGATATCTAGATGAAAGAGTCACTATGTGCTGAGAATTAACTGATTTCTGGGATGTGAGGCGGCTAGCAGACGGTCGGTTTAGCCAATCTGTCTGCTTCCTGACCTGGGCCCCAGTTAGTCACGTACAAACTCTAAGACTATGTGCCATATTTCTAGAGAGAAGAGCGGCACCACCCCAGGAGCGATGAAGACCATCTCTTTTCAACAGGTCAGGTCTGCCCCAAAAACTCGTCCAATTGTCTATGAAACCTATGTTATTCTGCGGGCACCACTTAGACATCCAGCCATTGAGTGACGAGAGTCTGCTGTGTATCTCGACACCACGGTAAGCAGGGAGGGGACCAGAGCATATTACAGTGTCTGACATCGTACTTGCAAGTTCACACACCTCTTTAATGTTAGTTTTAGTGATCTCCGACTGGCGAAGTCGAACATCATTAGCGCCAGCGTGAATAACAATCTTACTGAATTTACATTTAGCATTAGCCAGCACTTTTAAATTTGCCAAGATGTCAGGCACTCTGGCTCCCGGTAAACATTGGACTATGGTGGCTGGTGTCTCTATTTTCACGTTCCGTACAATAGAATCGCCAATAATTAGAGCACTTTGATCAGGTTTCTCACTGAGTGGGGAGAACCTGTTTGATGTTTTGATCGGAACAGAAGAGCGGTGTTTTGACCCACGACTATGTCCCGCCTCACAGTCACCCTGCTGCAGAGGCATTGTAACTGGAACCGAACAATGTACAGGACTCCCTGAGCTAGTC